TTATTACTTCACAATATATTCAAATCTTTTTATATGTCAATTAATTTATCAATTGTAATTATTACTACTGTTTGATAATTAATTATAATTTGTTATTTTAATTTATACTAATAATCTAATATGTAAATAATTTTAAAATATTACTTTTATTAAATTTATTAAAATCTTTAAAAAAAAATTATAAAGAATTTATAATTGTTATTATTTATTCAAGCCAATTCATTATTTAATATAAAAGTTATTAAATTTAAATATTTATTCTATTAATACCAATAAAATTTAAAATAAAATTTTGAAATACACTCATTTCCTAATTTATTAACAATCTAATTATTTAAACACAAATATGATCTTGCTATTTCTAGTAATAACTGATTATGCATTTTGCTTATTATATTTATAGCTTAAAAATTTAAAAACTTTTTTAAAATTTTTAAAATAACTTTTTTAAATCTAAAATTTAATTAAATTTAAGAAAAACTATTAGAATCTACAGTCATATCTCTCTATAGCGAATTTTAATATAACGAATTTTTTGGACAACTATATTAAATTTACCCTCGTTATAACGAACTAGCCAATCAAATTCTTTAAAAAGTTCACTATAGCTCTATAACGAAGTTGAAGTTCAGAACATAAAATTCGTTATATCAAGGGTTGACTGTAGATAAAGATATTTATTATAAACAAATAGTATTAATATGTAATTTTGATAGATCACTACAATTAAATGAGATATTTAGTAGTGATTCTTTTTAGTTTACATAATAACTTTATAAAGTTTTACTAAAACTTGTATAGTTATCATGAAAATTAGTAGTGTGTCACTAAGATTCACAAAGACTGTATATCACTAAGATTTATTAACTATAAAATTGTAAATTATTACTAAAATTCACAAAGATTTTTAAGAATTATAATTCATAAAGATTAATATATTATACAAACTCACAAAGATGTAAAAGCTAAAATAGAAAGAGTTTATTAATAGAAATATATAGAAAAAAAGAAATAAAGAAAATAAAAGAATAAAAGAAATAAAGAAATAAATAATATAAGATAAATTCACAAAAATTGGATCATATAAATATTTAAAAAATTTTTGAGAATTATTAATTTCATACAGTCTATTAAATCCTACATTTTATTATAAGTTCTAAACTACTGTATTTATATATTTTGAATATATATAATGACTAAAGTTAGTTCCCATAATTATTTTTAAAATTTTTAACTAGTTGTAACTATTTATGAATTTTTATATCAAAATAAATTTATAAGGAGTTACAATCAAGTTGCAATTCAAATTGCAACTTACTGAGTTGCAACTTTTTAATTATAATGCTTATCTTTAATAATGACAAATTAACTATATTAAATAAATAAAATATATAAAATATATTACATATATTAAATAAATGAAATATTTCAAATATGTTAACTATATCAATTATAATAATGTATACATTTTAGCATTGTATATGTAAATCAATTTATAAACCATCCAGTAAATTAATTTTCTATAGATCAATTATATGTAGATCACTTTGTAGATTTGTTTAATCTCAAATATCTTGAAATTCAAATTTCTTAAAATAGTTTAGAAAAGCATTTTACTATTAGTAGATAAAGCTTTAAAATACTTTAAAAAATTTATAGTTTTTACTAATCTTTGTGAAGTTATAATAGAAATGACTGAATAAATATTCAAAGAATTTACTAATTTTTTTATTATATTAAATTGGATTAGTAATAAATCATTAGATTTATTTTATGATTATCTAAAAAAAAATGTATTCAATTATTAAAATAAATTATTAATAATTATTATTTATAATATTACTAGAGAATTAAGACTGTTACTAAATCTAGAACTTATATAATAAAAGTAATCAATTATATAGGAGGTAGTCAGTAAAAAAGAGGAAAATCCAAATTTTGGTCAAAATTTATATTATTGAGCCACTTTGCTGATCTTGGTCATATGCACAAAATTAGCTTAATAATTAAAATTAACAAAAATTTTGGATTTTCCCCTTTTCTACCAACTGTTTCCCATATATTGACTCAACTTTTAAGTAGACAGAAATCAGAACATTATACATTTTAACATATATAGTTTTATGTTTTGCTTTAGACTAATAATGATATATCAGTATTGGCAAATGACCTTAAAATGACCTTGAAATGATCTCAAATAACCTCAAATGACCTTATTATAATTATAAATTTCAAGTCAAAAGATCTTATAATTTGCTAACCCTATAATATATTATATTATGTAATTTAAAATTGGAAATTTTAATGATAATATTTCTTAATAGCTAATCTTTGAAAATTATAATATAATAATAAAGATTATTTAAATAATTCAAAATTATGCTTTAAGAATGTAACTTATTTTAAAAATCTTATTAATTCTATTAATTATAATAGCTAATTATAATAATGATAAATAATATAAAACTAAAATTATATTTCAATATTTTTTAACTTTTAGTTATATAATTAATTCATTTTATCAAATAATAAGATAAAGGTAAATATATATTCTGATAATCTAATATTATTGTAAATATTAAATTAAAAAATGAAATTATTAAAAAAAATATATATATATATTATAATTAAATGTTTAAATATTTTATTAATTATCAGTTAAAAAATATAACTATATTTATAATTTAATGATACTACTACTTAAATTTTCAACAGTTATTATTGTTCTTATTTTAAAAAAAAACGGAAACTGCTAATAATATATTAAACTATTGCATAAAATTAATGAAATTTTTTTTGATTTATCTTTATATTTATCATTGATCTGATAATAATGAAAATAAACTAACAGAATTCTTAGTATTAGCATAACAAATAATACTTAATTCTAAAATTACATAAGACTTACAATTTATGAATAGTCTTTAAACATTAATTTTTCTTATTTTATTATTGAATTAATAATTTATATTCGGAATTCTATGTATATGAAAAAAGATAGCATAAAATGTTATCATATCTGAAGTCTGTTTTTTTTAGTAAATTAATAAATAAATAAATAAATCTATTAACATTAATTAAAAATTAATGATTTTTAAAATATCAATTTATTATTATTTTTATTACTTTACTATTCTGTTTACATATAAAGTTAAATTATAATAATTTTAATAAATATATTAATTCAACTTGAGACTTTATAGCTTTATTTAACGACCAAATAAAAATTTATCAATCTAGTATTGTTAAATATATGTAACGAGGATCTTTGCTAAATTCAATTTGTGTAACTCTATTGTTATATATCGTGTAAAAAAAAATTTCATACTTTTCGTCTCCCATCTTTGTAAAATATTCCATTTTAAAAATAAATATGGCTCCAATATTACCTGTTGATTGTTTTGAGGAAATATTCCGCTTTTTGCAAGAAGACAAAACGTCTTTACACTCTTGCATTCTTGTCAATCGTCTTTGGTGTGAAAATACTTCACCTTTTTTATGGCGACAACCTTTTACTTTTATTGGTATAACTCTTAGAGCCTCAGAAAAATTAATACAGACATATATTTCCTGTCTTAATGAAAAAGACAGGAGGCTATTAATAACGAATGGTATTAAATTACCAAAGTTATTAAAACGGTCAACTTTTAACTATGTAACATTTTTACGAAATTTTAATCTAGAAAGACTTCGAAAATCTATATCAAGATGGATGAAATTGAATCAACAAAAATATGATCAAGTATCTCAAGATATACTTCTTTATGTACTTCTTAGATTCATAACAAAATACTGTCCAGCTCTTGAATCAGTATACATAGTATTAAAATCTCAACCAATAAAACCAATAAGTGGAAATTCTATAAATATGCATTTTAAATTTGATGATTGGGCTGATAAATTTACAAGTATTAGAAAATTTTCAATTGATTTTACTGATGAACCATTTGATTATAATGAAGACAACGAAATCCATAATATTGCGAGATTAATAAAGTCTCAAAATATTCTTCAACATATTAAATTTATAGGGAAATATCAAGTTTGCCCCGAATTTATTATTTCATCTTTGGGAGATACATTAACAGAGGCTGAATTTTATAATTTGAATTTTGAAGATGATACTTCAAACATATTGGAATGTTGTAAAAATTTGGAAGTTTTAATTTTTGATGGATGTTATTTTCCAATGGGAACAACAAAACAACCTTTAAGTAGCGCTTCGCTTTCTCAAATAAGTAAATTACACATAATTGAGACAGATTTTCATTTTAATGATGATGTTCTAATATCGCTGATTCGAAATACAAATTCAAATTTGCAAGAGCTATACATCACTCGTCACGTATATCATGATAAGATTGAAAGTCTACAAAGAATCAATTCTGCTTTAGTAAAATATTGTCCAAATATAACCAGTCTTAATATACCATTCTACACGAATGAATTAATATATCTTTCAACATTTATTAAAGCGTTTCCAAAACTCAGGAGCTTATCGATCGGTTCTCGATGGTTTGATGAGAGTCCAATCAATTATCGATCTTTTGAATTTGGACGCATATTACCAACCACTTTACAATGTTTGGAAATCAATATGCCATGTTCATTCACTGCTGAATTATTTGAGATGTTTCTTGCGTTATTAAAGTCTCCCTTGGAAATTTTGAGAATTCCTTATTGTCAATGTATTTCGGATCAACATTTAGATGTTATCACGCGTTATCTTGGGAATAGTCTTAAGGAGTTAGATATCCAGTGGGCTGGTTGTGTCACCAAGGAAGGTTATCTAAAAGCGCAAAATCATATAAAATTTATTTATATCAAAAATTCCGAAGAAATTGTTTAGATAATGATGAATTAATTAATTAAATTGTTTTGACCAATCATCTTGTAACACATTTGGGTTCGTGTAACATTGATTCAAATGTATAAAATAAAAAAAAACCCATCTCTACCCATTTGATTATTTTCTCCTTTCAACGTATCTAAAAAAAGAAATGTACAATCTTACTCAGCGAGTAAATGCGATAATTGCATTTGCAATGACCGTCATGTTCGGTCTTTTATTATCAATAGCTATAACTTCACTTTATATAACTTCTAATCCAATAGGCAAGGTTGACATAAATGAACTTAATATATGGTTGTATAATTATGCTAATAAAGAAACCGAGTTCGCATTCATAGAAATGAATATTGATGCTGGTAAATTTGCTGTATATGCATATATATAATTCACGAATATTTGTTATCGATGTAAATTTTGTATATTTGTTTACTTTAAAGACTTGACCTCACTCTTCAATTGGAATACAAAACAACTATTTATTGCTGTCGTTGCTGAGTACGAGACTAATTTACATGTAAGTTATGAATTCGATATTACTTTAAATTACATGTTTGTTCTGATAACCTTTGTTTATTATAGGAATTGAATCAGGTGGTCTTATGGGATTCCATTATTCAGTCAAAAGAAGATGCTCACATTAAAGGAAATAAAGTGAGAAATGAAAAATATGAATTTGTGGATATTACACCTAGCTTTGGGTTAAGTAAATTAAAAATCGAAAATCTTTTTTTATTTAAATTGAATTTATATTGATGACTTTTTTTCAATCTATATAGTGAGGTAAAAGCGAAATATTCAATATATTGGGATGTGATGCCTTTCGTTGGATTTTTAGTGAGCGGAAATATTGGAACAAATCAAACAATTCCATTTCCTAGTCCATTGAATGAAAAAGCTTATAGTTAACCAATATATTTATTAAAACATGTAGTTGTAATAATAGAATAATAATTATTATTATTATTTTCCTGAAGTCGAAGTGAATGGATCATCTTTCCGTGCTTCAACCAACAATTTATCAATTTGTTTTTGTTTTATGGCATTCTAAAGTATTTTGGATAAACTAAAGATGAAAATGATATACTTTGATATTTTTAATGAATTTAAAAATAAATTGTCTTTACCAATACACAAGCCCTATATTTTTCGAATAATTCTTCGCATTCTGGTCTTAAATCTCCTTTGAGAAATTTTTCAGAGTACCACTTGTTGAAACATGTATCGTATTCTTTTTTGAGATCGTTGCATTGTGCACCTATGCTTTGTGACATTATTTTTTGTGACAATCTCTACAGATTGAAATTTAAAAAAGAATTAACAAAAAATTTTGCATCTATTTATATATCTATGTAAATCACATGATTTTCAAAAAAACCAATTAGGGGTGATTCCCTTTGGTTTCCATAAAATATAGTTTTCGTTATGGAATTTATACCAAGCGAAACTGTTTTACGAGATTATGAAAAAGCTTTCGAAATGGCACAAAAGAAGAAGAGACAAATCAAGACAGATATTCACAATAAGCTTTTACAGGCTATACAAGTAGGCTAAACTTGTCAGATTTGCAAAGCTGACAGTTATGTTTTTTTGAAGGTTTAAATTGTTTGATTCTAAACCTAAAAGGCGACCGAGAATGTTGGTTCAAGTATTCAAAGCGATAGTAATAAATCATTGAAGGAACTAGAAGAGGAATATCATAAAGTATTTGAATATTGCTTACTATCTTTGGAGATAATCTTTAATATCACAACTTTGTCTTTGATATTAATAGATATATTTGAGCAAGATTAACTTATCCGAGAAATTGGGGTTTACGAATCAACTTTATCGTTTGACATTCGGACAACTTCAACAAGAAAGGTTATTAATTTTTAATGAATGCATGTTGGATTTTTAATATGTAATATATTTATATACATTTTTTTATTTTTAATTATATTTGTCGCGTGATATTTCTCAATGCATTAATTAAAGTGAAACTAAATCTTTCATCAAAAATTATGAAGAAGCATGGGTAAGGGATATGCAAAATTTGGATGAGGAATTTCTAAATACTCCATGTATATAATATATATTATTTGGCCTTTATTTGTTCACCTTTACGAGTTGTTCTCCTTAAAAAATTTTTATAATTTCTTATGATAGATACGATTCAAAAGATGTCAACCGTGTGGACAGATGAAAGTTATGAATCTGATAAAATTCTTGCGAAATGGTATTGGCAATTGAAAGCGTATTTAAGAGACCTTCCTGCTAAACAAAATTTGACAACTTCTGGTAATGAATGCATGTTAGATAGATTTATATTAATTATATTTTTAAGGCTTGATCTAAATGTTTTCTCAATATACGAAAAGAAATTTTGCTCGTTGATGTTATTGCTTATGATATCACTTATTCTTCTGGGAAGGGGTTATGTTTCAGCACGCGACGTACTGGCCATATCGTACAAGTTCGTGTGACCAGGTATTTTATCACGGATGATTATTTGTGATACGATGAATTTATTAACGTTTAGTATTATTATAACATTTATTTATAGTGAAGACTCCGATCCTCATTTTAAAATCATTTTCGACTTTCCTCTCGTTAAATCTATTGATAAATTTCATAAAGAATTTTCATTGTTATCGGGTCTCAGCCTCGACTTTACTAATTTTATAAAGAATGTAATTTGGACGGAGATGGATGAATTATTTGAACAAAGCGACTAACCATATTGTATAATGAAATAAATCTTTGTTGCATGTTTTACCTTATTTTGCATAAAGGTCCGTTGTTATCATGTGATCATTGCATCATTTATTTATACAGATATATTCCGAAATGAGTCTTAATAACCGAGAATTTTCTATAATTTTCGATAACATTCTTCGTCAACTGCCTATATATTCTTCAATAACCCTCGAATATCCAATTTTTTTTTTTTCTTTCAAAATTGTGACATTATCCAAGTTTTATTTGTTATAAAAAAAAGTCCGGTCGCATAATTATTTCCACCTTCGAGTGATTTTTATTTTATAAACTTATTCCATAACCTTGCTAAAAAAAGAAAAAAAACTTCAATATGAGTGCTCAAGTTTCGTCCGCCACCTCATATAATCATCTTCACGGCTTCCATTATTCTACTACCGATTTCCAACATTTTAAGAAACGTCCATTTGATCAAAATGCTTTTAACCAAGAAACTCCAGAGTTAATACACAACATGTATAAGAAAATAAAGACAACCACACCTTCTTTACCAAAGCAACCCCAAACACATGTTTCCCCTCCATTTGGTACTTCTAGAAATATCGATATTAGAGATATCGAAAAAGATATTGAAACAAGTTTACCTTTAGGTATTCCCCGGATTATCGATTTAGCCACGGGAGAGACTTTAGAATCTATCCCATCCCTGGAACAATTAAAGAGCAGAAAATTGAAACGTCCTATAGAATTAGTTGAGAATCAAGATAAATTATCTAGTACTCTTGAGCCCGTGGAAGAAATCAAGAATAGTTCACTTCATTTACATAAAAGAGTTCGAACTTCCAAAGAACATATGTGCAACTTTATTGAAGAGGACGACGAAATGATGAACTCTAGAATTTATGGACCTGGTGTCGATATTATAAAAGAACATAAAGCTGATTCTAATACATTTTCATCTAATAAAGAAAAATCTGTTAATTCTACAGAAAATCAATCCCTGTCACTATATGTTCAAAGAAAACCAACTTCAAATATAAAATTTACACTTCCTTATCAAAAAGCAATGACTAGATATATGCGTTCACAATTCCAGCATTTGAACAACGAAGAGTATGAAAATGAGGGCAAGCAATTAATTTTATATCGTCCCAAAAACGAGGATTATTTTAAGAGTTCACTTGATGATAACGATAATGAAACTGATGATGGTAAAATAGTTGAAATTGATGAAACAATGGATTTGGATGGTCAAAATAGTGCAGTCAATTTTCTCATAAATGATGAGAATGATGAGAATGATCAAATGGAAATAGATTAAAGGAGATAGATTATTTACAAAATCTTTATAATTTTTAATAAATTTGAAATTTTTTTTTTTTTTAAATTAAAATGATTTATAATCTTTCTAAAAAAATTAATTCAATAATTAATTGGATTAAAACATTAAATTGTAAATAGGTTTACGAATTATAATGAATTTTTTTTTTTTTAATTAATTCAAAAATTAAAGAAATTAATTAAGAAAATTATATTTTAAATAATATAATTTTTTTATATAAATTTAATATATAAAGGTTATTAAGTATCAATATAAATTATAATTCAAATTATTTTATATATAAATATTAAAATATTTTTTAATATTCAAATATAAACTTTCTTCTACATAGTTTTTAATAAGTTTATTAGTAACTTTAACACAAATGTGAAAGTGAATTTATATAGGAAGTTGATTTTAAATTAATTTTTTTTATATTTATTTACTTTATTTTTTATGTACAGTATATAATATAATAATTAATGATAATTTTTTTAATTACAATTTTTTAAAATTATAAATTAATTTTGGCCGAAATTAAGTATTAAATCGGATGGTAAATCTAGCAAAATTTGATAATAATAACCTCCAAAAATTCCAAAAATTTTATCTTTCGGAAATTTTACGTTGCTTCTTTTGATCAAAAGTTACAATCAGGAAAAAAAAAAAAAAAAATTAACGTTATTTGAACATTCTTTTTTAAGTTTTTTTTTTTCTTCCAAACTTATCAGCATAAAACTTGTCAAAATGGTATATACTGTTTATTTAATTGAAGTTTAATTAATAATAGGAGGGAACATAAAGTGAATGAGAAAATTGTTACTATGCTTAAAGCAATTTGCACATTTAGAAAATTTCCGTTAATTTTTTTTATTCGATTATATCGGATATAAATAACCTTATTGTATTTTTGTCTTAGGGTTTAACTCAACTTGGTAACGACACAGGTCTTAACGCTCTTAACAACTTTTTGAAAGATAAATCTTATATTGAAGGGTATGCTATTTTTATTTTTTTTTTTATAGAATTGATAGGAATAGATTGATTTAATTTTTTATGATGATTAATTAATTGGTCCGTGTTTCCGAGGTGGAATTAAGACACCACCTTATGAAGAAACCTTTTATCCAAATTTTCTGATTCTTGGATCAATATTTTTTTTATGAGTAATTTAATGTTTTCCTAATCAATTAACGAAAAATAACAATAATTTTTAAATTATAACCATATTAGTTTCGAACCATCCCAAGCTGATGTTGCCATATTCGAAGCCTTGAATCATAAAGTTCCAGACTCTACTAAGTTTCCTCACGCAACTCGATGGTATAATCAAATTACCTCTTATTCTGATTCATTTCTTTCGCTCCCTGGTACAAAAAAAGATGCATCATCATATGGACCTGATGTTGTTGAAGCTCCAGCAGAAGAAAAGAAAGGTGACGATAGTGATATTGACTTATTTGGTTCTGATAATGAAGAAGATGAAGAAGTTGAACGACAAAAGGCACAAAGACTTGCAGAATATCAACGTAAAAAGGCTGCTAAACCAAAAGTTATTGCTAAAAGTATGGTTGTTCTAGATGTTAAACCTTGGGACGATACTACGGATTTAGCTGAAATGGAAAAGGCCGTAAGGAGAATTGAGTTGGATGGTCTCACGTGGGGCGCTTCTAAATTGGTCCCTGTTGGTTATGGTATCAAAAAATTGCAAATTACGTGTGTCGTAATAGATGATAAAGTTGGTGTTGGTAAGTTGTATTATTGAATCTTTTTTTTTTTTGTTTTAATTTTGATTTTTTTTAAAAAAGAAATTTATTGATTTGATGATTTTATCAATAACAGACGATTTGGAAGAAAGAATCACTGCATTTGAAGATTTTGTTCAAAGTGTTGATGTAGCTTCTTTCAACAAATTGTAATAAGTTATCTAAATATATTAATTTGTTGAGATTGTAGATCCTCTTATTTTAATAAAAACGAATACCGAAAAATTATAATTATCACACAATTATTATTATTAATAACATTTATCGCTTCTGTATACATTTCTAAAATTTGCATATACATATATCTATTACATATATATAAAAGGATTTTTATTAGAATAAAAAGATGATCAAACATTTTTTCGTATTAATTAAAATTAATTAATTTGACAAAATTTATTATTTTGGTTTCAAAAAGCCGACATCTAAGCTTGTGTCGTGGTTTGTACACCGTGTGTGAGAAAAACAGTATCCTGCACTATCGGATAATCTCCCATAACATTATTACGATGCCTCAATCCTTCAGGTAGTGTTGAAGAAGTCGTAGTTGAATCAACTATTTCTTCATCTCCAAAAGCGTTTGGTGAATTTACTGATGAAAGATGATCCGAATTCCTAGATTTCTTATTTCCGCTCCACAAATCAGGTATTTTGATTTTTTTAAAGTTAGGATACACGAATTTTTCACAAAACGCGTTTCGTAATTTAGATGTTATGATATGAGTGATTTTAGGAATATCCTCAAGTTTTGATCGTGAGCCTATTAATGATTGAACATTAAATTCGAGAATGAAATCCGGTAATATAGAGACTAAAATATAAGAGGATTCCGGAGTAGTCACTATCTCCAAAGTTATCTAGTATAAATTATTTAGTTGCGGCATTGTCAATGTTCTGGTATATACGAATTGAATATATTAAATTCACAAAATATGGCTTCCCAAATATTCCACAATTATATCAGGAAACTATCTTACCGTAGAAGAAAATTTGATCACAGATAATACTAATGAAATTGGTAAAACGGCGATTTTTGGTTTGGGCCAATTAATAAGTATTTGAGTATCAATTCCAAGTGTGATTTGATCGCAATAATCACAATCAACTTCAACTCTCTTATGATATTAGAATGAAAAAAAAAAAAAATCGGGATGAATATAATGTTCTCAATAATAATATGATATAAATTTAAATAAATTACCATTTTTCCTATGGAATCCGCCGATCTTATTCGAGCATTATTAAAAACAGGAAACTCTTCTCCAATATCTAGGCGCGTAACCTCTATGGGACCCTATTCGTAATATTTTAATATTACATACCATTTGAATCATTTCTAATTTTTTGTTCGTTTTTTATTTTTTATTTTTTGAATTTTTTTGATTGAATCCTTACCACAAAATCAGGTCTCACACCACCGTTCAATATTTCATCAACCATGCGTACCAAACGATTGTCCGTTTTAGCATCATCTCGATATTGATATATGGCCTGTCCAATTAGAACATTAAGCCATGCTGTTGATTCAGGTGGGTGATAAGCTGGATCATATAAAGTTTTTGATAAAATAGTTGATACTGGTGAAGATGAATCTGTTTTCGGAGTCAGAGGCGTAGGAATGGGAAGAGGACGCTAAAAAACATTACTCATTTATTTTTTCGTTCAATTTACATTTTCACTCTTTTTTTTTTTTTAAAAAAAAAAACAAATTATATATATATATATATATAATAAAGATATAGATATAGATATAGATATATTTATATCATATTATATTATAAAATAAATAAGAACCTGAGGACTATCTTTTTTCACGTCTTCCAGTAACATATACTTTATAAAAGCGAACACCAAAATCACTACCGATAATTGGCCTATCAAAAACCCTTGCATAAAAGACCAACTACTTTCTGGAAGTTTGGAAACAACATGATCTAAATATTCTTGCACTTCTGGTGAAATTGCTTGTGCGGAAGACATGGGTACTAATATAAAAACCAAAATTAAAATAAAATAAAAATCATCGTTTATAGAATCTCTATACAATCTTCGGTTCTAGATGTCATTTCCGTTACCTGGTACTTGGTCTTTCGCATGATAAATCAAAACGTCATCTTTTCAAGTATGTCCTTCTCTGGTAGTACAAAGGCGTGAGATTCATAAGGAAGAAGCGTTTAAATTTGGAGATGATCGACCTTCCTCACAACATCAATTGTCTACGAAACCAAATAAATCAACTACTTTTTATAATTTTAAACTTAGTTAATAATTCAACGAACCTTGACATCGCCTCTCTTAATTTAAAACTCCTTCTACTTAATAAATATTTATAAATAATTGAAAAAAGTTTTTGTCGAATTGAACTCGCGTCTTACCTCTACTCGTGTGAATGCAATGTCTTTCCAGGCTAACTCGGAGAGTATGCTCAGATACTCGCAACACGATGGTCTTTTAACGGAACAAGATCAAAAAATTATGACCGATTTTCTTGATACAATCGCAACTGAAGGTCCTCCGAACCATATGATGGATATCACACACCACGGTCAAACAAGCATTTCATTTCACGGTATGTACAAATTTAATAAAAAAATTTTTTGGTTTAATTGAAAAACGGAACCGACAACAATTCCATTTTTTTTATATTAATGAAAACGATCATAGACCCTCAAACTTCAATGCAGTTATCTAGAGGGTTTCAAACAGGGTTTGGTTCTAACTTTGATCCTAATTCCGGTTATGCCGGAGCCGGCGGGTATATATATCAACCTATTGGCTCTGCTTCCATTACTATACCGGCGAATAATGGATACTCCCAGACAACTAATTTTCATCAAACTGCCTCTCATGTTCATGATAATTATGTACAACAACAATACCCTTTAAATCATCAGATATCATCATTAAATAATGGATTAATTCACGGTGGAAAAGTCAAACCCGTCCCGAATAACCATTCCTCTGCATTGTACATAAAATCCGAACCGATGACGGTTAACGTTAGGAGGCAAAGATCACCATCACCGCATAGATCAAATTCAGTGGGAAAACAAGCAATAAGACGTACACCCTCTCGGCGAAAATCTCTTAAAAATTCGAATGACGCTAATACATCATTAAATGAATCCAAGTCAGATGAAGGAAATAATTCAACCATATCCACAGTAATTCCTACTGTCTCTTCATCCGGATTAAATGTTGGATCTTCTTCGACAACGGAAGCAACACCAGCTTCACCAAAATTAGCATCCACATCAGACTCAAATAACAATCAACCTCTAACGGCATCACAGAATCGTGGGGGAAGAGGAAAAAAAGGGCATCACGAACTATTAACTGAGGCAGAAAAAAAAGCAAATCATATCGCATCTGAGCAGAAAAGACGACAGAACATTCGTTTAGGTTTCGATCAATTAGTCGAAATTGTACCTACACTTAGTCAATGTCATCGAAGCGAGGCGTTAATTCTTCAAAAATGTAATTATTATATTTAAAATCTTGATGGATGATTGTTATACGCCTTTTGGTCCTTTTATAAAGTCGTATAATTTAAAATTTTCCTTTTAAAAAATTTTTTTTTAGCTGTAGAATATATTCAACAACTTTTAATGCAAAAAAATGAGTTGAAGGATCGTGTGAAGTCGTTGCAGGCAACACTAGGCGATGCGTAAGTTGAATTATTTATGAATATTTTACATTTATTAAAAATTTAATCCAAACCTGACATTCTACATAATAAACAGACCCGATCATATGGATGATTCAGTAAGTATTATGATAAATGAAATTGATTATTTTTAATCATGGACGATTCACGTGATAATATATTCTTAATCCACTTTCTTCATTATAATAATAAAAAGTCATCTGACGGAGAACTTGACCTTATCTTCTGACTAGTGCGAGAAAAAAAGAGAAAATTAGCTCATTAACATCTAAACAAATCAACCCAATTTAAAACCATGAACTGGTGATTTATCATTTATTTTTTTGATTACACTTTTTATCTTATTTCCTTGTATAATAATTTTGTTTTTCCTATTTCTTTTCTTTTCCTTTAATTAGTATTAATAACTTTGGTTTAGAGGTTAAGTTTGGGCTTATAACAAAGATGGGATCTACTCGGGGTTCAAAGTTTTGACAATCCAATTTAGAATTATTTTATCCTTTTTCAGCCGTGACACATTTCTGTTTATTTTATTATATTATTGTGTAATATTTCAATCTTTTTTGAAACATAAATATTCTTATTACTTTTTTTTTAAAAAATAGATATTGTTAAATATAGTAAGTAATTTCCTTGATTAAATTTCATTCAATAATTGTATGTATGTATGTATGTATGTATATTGAATTGTCGTAGAATAGTAGGATAAAATTTTTAGAATATATTAATTCTAATTGATGAATATGTTATTCACATTCTTCCATAAATACTTTCTTTACTTTTTTTTTTTCTTTTTTTTTTTTTTAAAAAAAAAAAATTATATATATATATATATATATATAATATATTGTTGGTTTTAAAACAAATATTATCGTCTTTTTACAAATACTGTATAAAATGATTAAAATCCAAGTTTTAAGTTTATTTATCCAAATTTGCTAAATTTCATTAATCTTTATTATCTGTATCGTGAATATCATTATTACATTGTCCGAACCCAGTTGTCAAACCAGGAAATTTCAAAATATTTCTTTTGACCACAACTTTACCGGGCAACTTTCGTTTATTAGTTAATGTCTTGTTTGCTGGATGAGGAAAAGACCGGAAGGTGAGATGTTGTAGAGTTCGGGTATAAGGAGAAATGGTATGATTAGACTTCATCAAAGTGGCAAGCTGTGCAGCGACTGATGTTTCTGAAGGCTGAAGAACTATTTCTTGTCGACGTAATAGAATATCATTTTCATTCGTACAAGTTGATGTTTTCATGTAATTTAAATCATGACCAGAACTACTCAGAGAAATGTCACTATGTAAATCATTTGGTGTATTTGTTGAAAAAAATGAATTGTGTGAAGGTTGAGAACTTTCAGAAACTTGATACTGATTATGACGCTGAAGATTTGCCGTTGTCATCTTATTACTTGCAAGGGAGACTGTCTCAACAAACTGACTTGCAGTTATTATTGGTGATAATTGGTGGTTTGCTTCATTAACTACATGTCGTCTTAATGGTTTACTAACATCATATGATTGCTCTTGTTGTACGGAAGGTAACCAGGTTGGTAAAGAATCTCTCCTTTGAGGTTTGGGAGATACTAGAAATCGTTGACGGTGAAAAACTCGGGGACGATTTATGTCCGAATGGTGATCTTTATCGGGTTGAGATATTGCTTTTAAACCTTCTTCCTTTTGACGATCAAATAAATCACCGAAATTTGAATACGAGGAACATCCTGGGTAACCATCTAAAGAATCGAGATCTCCCATATTTGAATAACTATCCTCAGCGTAGTATGATGATTCTGGAGAGATGCTCGAGAATTCTGAACTTGGAGTTGATAATGGTGTATGATAACGAAGGTCTGGCATAGACATGGTATCATAAGGAGTATTTTCAGGTAAATGATGCAGGGGATTACGGTCAAACTTATGATCCTTTTCCGATAATTCCTGCTTTAACGTTGTTTCTTCTTTTCGTTTATTGCCATTAAGCCATTTTTGTAAAGATAATTGGTGAACGATTGAAGGTAAATCTTCCTGAAACATTATCCTTAGTCTCTTCTCAATCTCAGTTTGTAAAAATCGTTGAATGCTAGAAATACTATCAAAAGTGGATGTAACATCTACCTTTTCTAATGGATCATTTTTAAATACAAGCGTGATCCCTTTTTGTTTGCTGATTACCAATACAATAATTCCACGCAACTTTAAATTACTTAATCGAAGAAGCATAGGTACGACAAGAGGTTGATCAGCTGCAAGTATTCCTCTTCGAGTATACATGCTTACATCTGATTTATTATTATTCATTGGATTTGCCTTAAAAAAAAGATAAAACATTTAACAAATAGAAATCATTTCAGAATGATTAATATTTCAAAAACTTTAATTGTTATACCTGCACTTTTGTTTGCAAAGTTAAATGAGCATCTCCACTGTATATCAGCTTGAAGATTCCTCTAAATTTATCAACTGCCAATTCCCCAATTTCCATTATTTCTAACTCGGGAGCCTAAAATAATAAATTCATTGAAATAAAATTATGAGCTAAATAAATGAAAGAACAAGGAAGTTATCCAAACCTTTGTGCCCATATTCAAATCTTTTACAACGATATGATCTACTATGTTCGCCGGTTTGTTACTTTTATTAAGCGCTGTAGTTAATAACTGTTTCGCTTGATCGACGAATTCGGTAGTAAAATCGGGCCAGTTGAACTTGAAAGCCATAACTTTGATTGCTATTAAGCATCAAAAAAACCTATAAAAGAAAGAAAAAGAAGTGAAAAATGGAATATATAGGAAAGATTTGAACAAGGAATCATCAAGCTAATATATACAAGACAAGGAGAAATTTATCAAATTTTTGATGAAAATCTATCGGAAAACTCGGGAACTAATCTAAAATTTCGGTATTTTCATTGGACATTATCTTGTTAATCTATTTGTACAAAACCTTAGTTAACAGCTGAGATTATCAGAACCATGAAAAACATGGAGATGATAGCTTCGATTAGTTACACAAGTTCGATGTTTGGTGCACCGAAAATTACGGAATACCTTTACCATGCAATGTTCGATTAAAATATAATTTTTCATTCTCCCCTCACGCGTTTCTATAAAATCATCATATTATGGAAAAGAAACGCTTAACTAATTTTATTAAAAGAAAATACTTTTCATCAGAAGTTACTAATAAGACAGAAATTCGAGGAATAAATGGAGTAAAGGAAGAAATAAATGAAATTTACGTAGACGCACAAACAACTGCAGAAATTTCTGATATTTCTTTACAAGGAAATAGTATTGCTGAAGTAGCAAAAACTTTAACTGAATTAGAGCAAAATTGTATTTTGATACCCTCGTATGCCAAACGCGTAGTTAACGAAGATGGAAATTCCGAATGGTCGGTGCAAGTTCGTGGTTGGGCCTTTGGAACTAGGCAAAGCCGAAAAAAAAAGTTGGTGTTAGGGATGGCAAAACGTTTTGCTGGGGTGAACAAAGATGACGAAGAAAGTAGAGAAAAAAGTAGATTATTAGAGGAGAGATTTTCAATGTTTTTGGCAAAAAATCTACGAAACCAAGAGTACAAAGTGCAAATAATCAGTTTAGCTCATCCAACCCATATGGAGCTAGATGAAAATCCTGATGAAGTGGAGAACGACGACGAAGTAAGTGAATATTTGAGTGAAACATCAACAGCTTATCAGGATCTTCATCCATCGACTCATATCACGAGTAATACCGGGCATTTTTGTGGTAACATTAAAATCCCAGTAGAGATTGTTGATGAGTGGGTGGATAAAGCTCGTAAAGAAGGAATCGGAAACGGAAATCACGTGCGATTGTTGAAACTAGGAGCTTTACCAAAGGGGAGAGAATTTGGTATGTAATAATCAACCTTGAAAATCTTTTATTATATTCAGTTACACAAATCGATAAGATCTACTACCTTTTAGCTCGTCCATCATTTGGATTCGTAAGTTTAATCGAAAGTGAAGGGATATCTGTTATATCAGTACGTTAACTTTTAAAGAATATTATAAATTCAATTTTTTTTTATCCGACATTAACAATCATTTCTCATTTAAGGATATTGATGATACAATAAAATTAACAGAAATTACAAGCGGCCCACGCACAGCTCTCTCAAATACATTTTTATACGATTTAGTTGAAGTATGTATATGCTTATAATAGATTGGGATTGTTTTTTTTTTTAAAAAAAAGGGCAAATTTTAATATTTAATTATAAATTAGGTTCCTGGCATGGCAGATGTATACATGGAATGGGTTAGTATAAAGGATTCATAAATTATACTTCCTTATGATTAATTTAATTAACTTTCAAAATATTTAGTACAACAAAGGCGCATCAATTCACTACGTTTCGAATTCCCCATGGCAACTGTTTCCAATGCTTAAACAATTTATAAAACGATTTCCACCTGGTTCAGCACATTTAAAATTTTATAATGATTTGTTAAAGAGTTTTCTTTTTGAAGAACCAGGATTATCAAAGATAAATTACATTAAAGAAATCCTTGAGGACTTTCCAAATCGTAAATTTATCCTTATTGGAGATAGTGGTGAAATTGATATGGAAATGTAATCATTGAATATTAATATTTTTATTTTTTAGTTTTAGTTTTTTCTCTTATTAATTTAATGTATATATATTTTTTTTTAATCCTAGATATTCTAAGATAGCCAAACAATATCCAAGTCAGATCTTGCATGTGTTTATTCGAGATGTATCTACAGAACGTCTCAGAAATATTCCGTCATCACCCACCAAACGAAATCGATCGTTTCCATATATCCTCAAACGCTCATTATCAAGTACATCTCTTAGCACAAAGTCAATGCCTCCGGTAATAGACACATCTTTGTTCAATAATAATTCTAACAGCATTAACGCCTGGGGTACAGACGATATGGTACAATCACCCGATATCTTAACACCGAATACGCCAACGACGCCAACGACGCCAACGTCGCCAATGACTCCTACTGAGATTGATAATAATACACATCTACAACAATTTCTTGAAAAAGTTAAAGCATGTAAGGAGTCGGTGCCTAATAATGCATTTACACTTTTTAAGGATAGTTATGAATTGAGAGACAATGAGATCGTTAATAGCGAATTTGACAAGTTATTAGAGAAACAACAACAGAGAGTATCTCGACAAAATACTCAATTTTAACAATATATTTGATCATCATTGTAAACTTTAGAAAGCCTTTGTATTACAAAATTATAGAATATTCAGTATTTAAATCAATTTGTATATTTATGATTTGTATTATTATAAAGTTTACTAGAATAATAAAAAAAGGGGGCCAATAATTCTATTTAAAAATAAATAATTTATAGAACAATTTATTTTCACCTAAGATTTGACAATCCTTAAGCTTTCAATAACTTCACATAAAGGATTTTAATATTTAATTATGTCTAAAAATGATTGTTAATCAGTTTAACCAATTATAAATGCGGAATGATTAAGTTTAGAACTTTGACTCCTCAATAACTAAAATATGATTAATTTAATCGCTTTCGTGAATTTTTGTTGACATGTATAAGGTTGTCTTTTTGGTATAACAGTTAATATTGATAAGACTCTTCATTAACATATATGCACTTAATTAATCTTGCAACACAACAAGGAATATGAAGCAATCGGCTCAAAAAAAAAAAAAAATAGAGGTTTGAAACGTCATTATTATTTTTAATCATTTTTATTATAATTATGAAAATGGGAACTTGAAGTTCGCATTAACACTCGTGAATATTCCATAAATGAAAAAAAAACGACGCAGTCTTGAAAATAGCATAACTTGCATTTACCATTACTGTGGTAATGCGTCACATACTGACAAGAGATTTATTTAATTTGCCGCCAATGTTTAACTAAAACACGAAATCGCGAAGAGTCGGATTGAAAAAGATATCGTTTCACCACAAGAATCTGCACTATTAAATTTTCTACTTTATCAACTATAAAAACAAAGGAGTAATCATAGCAGGGAAAAAGCTGAAGGACTTAAAGAATAGGAAAGAAGAGGAGATGAAGCGAGGACTTTGAATTTTAAAATCGTGCATTTATAGAGATTATAGAGAGTAAATTATTATATAAGTTTGTGAGAGTGCATTATAAATTGCGCGCTTTTATTTGATGAGCAAAACAGGCATCAACCATAAATGAAATATTTTCTACCATATATGGTTAGAATCACCTTTAATCTCATTATAGTGTAACAAAGGAAAAACGTGATTTCTTTTTTTACAAATTATAATAACCGGTAATAATCTCAGAAAAACCATATATTAATCCGATAAAACAATAATTTCATCAACATATTTGGCAACCTTCCTTCGAGGATTATTATTTGACAAATGTTTACTTTTCACATGTGATAAAACATTTTCTTCGCATAATGGTTCATCATCGCTAATGCAAATAACTTTATCATGCTTTTTGCTCCTAGAGCTCTCATCTTTTTTTTCCCTTACAAGAATCATTCGACAAAATTATTAGAGAATCTTCAAGAGCATTTCCCTTAGGAAAGCCGTTGTATTGTCGAGAAGAATAAGATATTATATTTTTAAGTTAGATTTTGATTTTAAGTTTGACGTTTTCGCTTTACTTGATTCTTAAATTTTAAAATAGAGTAACAGCTTCATGAAATCATCATTTTCATCACCTATATTTTTTCATTATTTAGCTTCAATAACATAGATGATAAGAGTAAGACAGTTTGAAACATCACCATTAAAGAATTATCAATTTGCTTGACGCGTTTCTTGGATATGTATTCTTCATCAATATAAGGAAGTAATAACTTATTGGTTTTTTTACCCCGCTGATGTAGAAATCCTATTTAATCCAATTTGTTCAAGTTTGTTGAAGTGGAAAGGGTCATTTTGAAGAAGGTCCAGCTTGTTGTTCAATAGCGATGTTCTCAAAATAATCGTCACGAATCTTGTCACTCTTTGGAGTAAGTAAAATAGGAAAACCAAAACCTTTATCAATGAGATTCTATAATGTAGATGTAATTCAGCGATTTGTTTCTTAGAAATCCTTTTAAGATTAACTACTCCGGTTTGGATATCATCATTTTTTTCGAGATACCCATCAAATCCAGTAGATAAATCAATATATTTATTATTAAATATATTTTCTAATGCCATAGAAGATTTATTAACAACGTTGGTTATTTACCCATTTGGCACGATAAAAATATACTGAAACGCATCCAAGTTCCCCGGATTTCTTCAAAAGAAATTTGTTGTTATCATCGTTTTCATTAAGTTTTGAGGTTATAGGATCATAGGATGACGGAATAAATTTAAAATAATATTTTTTATCGCGTTCCTTATTCCAAAATCCATTTTCTTTACGAAATTTTTCATCAGTAAGTTGATAATATGTAAATCCAATTCCATCAACAGAAATATAAGCTGCGTAGTGAATTGTCCCACTACGGAATTTCGAATAATGTAATAGTTGTATATTTTCTCCTTTTTTTTTTTTAGGAAAAAAAAATTAACGTTATTCGAGCATAACTAGATTATATGGGGCCTTTGCAATAGAAAGGGGGAAAAAATAAAATTTACTTTTATATGTCAAATATGATTTTAGGCCAAAATATGTTCAAATTAGCATTAAACTCATTTTTTATTTTTCCGGCAGTTTCCTCATTATATTGCAAAGGCCCTATATAATTTAAATCTTATAATATAGTTGCATGAATTTTTTTTTTGTGATTATTTTATCGATGTAATTTACTATGTATACATTCACGGTTATCATTATCAAAAGATTCCCAACATTCATTCAAAGGGATGCCTTCCTTGAAGTAGGTATTGTTTGAATATCATTTTCTTGGAAAGATCATTCAAATCAAGTAAGGAACGAGGATTTAAAAAAGAAATGAATCATTCTCAAGTCTTGTATTTAAGAACAACTATTTCAGATTAATCATTGATTAAATCCTTTGATTATCTAATATAGAATTACTGAAGTTTGTGTGATGCAAAATAAATATTTTAGTCGAGAAAAAAAAAACTTGACTCCATAATGGGTATAGATAAGATTACACATGACATGCATCTGACAAATAAAAATTTTGTTAGAGGTCACAATGAATATTATTATGTTGTGTGATGTGGGGCACAGTTACCTTTTATTTCCCGGCAAATTACCTTTTGAGATATAAGCGAAACTTTTCATGTTCAACTAATACGAAAAAGAATATAAATTTATACAAATTTAGACAAATTAAAAATTTCCCATCGATAAGGCGCGTTTTTGTTATCAGTTATCTTTGGCAAAATAAATAGCTGTTTTTATTACATAATCAAATAAACTGAAATTATCTTGACAAATTACAAATCAATATAAAAAGGCGTAACCCCCCCTTTTTTTTTTGATCAAGGAAATTCTTTTCTTGAAATTTTCTCCTTTCTTATTTTTTTATATCAAAAAGATATTTTTTTATTCTGTATATTTTTAAAAATGAATAGCTTTCCATTGGTTAAAAATAAATTTCATGGTATCTATCATATTTCTATGTATGTTTAATTCAACGATCTTAAAAAGTAACAAAATAATATTTTATTCAGCACAAAAATATTTTACTGATGAAACGACAACAAAAAAGTCATCCGTCACACCTCAATCCAGGCTCAAGAATTCATCTAAATTAACATTACCACAACAACCCACCACTAGTAATAAGAGACCTTATGACTTTCAGAACGTTAATATCGGTCCAAAAATCCAAAAATCTGATGAAATATCGAGGTCATCTACCATCTATCTTCAACCCAGGCCAAAGAATTCTTCTAATTCAACATTATTGCAACAACCTAACACCAGTAATAAGAGACCTTTTGACTTTCAAAAGATTGGTGTGAATTCAAGAACCCAAAAAGTTGATGAAATGTCAAGTTCGTCTACCACACAACTTCAATCAAAACTCAAGAATTCTTCTAATTCAACATCTTTACAACAATCTACCAATAGTAACAAAAGATCTTGTGACTTTCAAAACATTAGTGCTGATCCAAAAATACAAAAGTCTGATAAAATGCCATCTACTGTCCGACTTGTTTCACCCAAAATAAAGGATTCATCTAATTCAGCATCATTACAACAATTTAATACCAGTAATAAGAGATCTTATAACTCTCAAAGTATTGGTGTTAAATCGAAAGTCCAAAGATCTGATGAAATTTTAAAGAGATCACCTGTTCATCTTCAATCCAAATTAAAAAGTTCATCTAACTCTAACTTCACATCGTTACAACGATCTTCTACCAGTAAAAAAAGATCTTATGACTCCGCCGATTGTATATTTTCAAAAATTCAACAAAAAAATATGAAAAGGTTACGAAATTCAAGGATATCATCATTTTGTAAAAGTTCTAAAACATTACCTTCACAAAATCAAAAATCTATTCAAACGTCATCTCAAAAGAAACACGCTATTGCATCATCATCATTATCAAATTCATCGGATAAACATAAATCAAAATGTCAGTCAAAATGTTCTTCTTCAATACAATATATATCAAATGAAATTCAACATAAAGCTTCCTATCCTTTAATAACTACTTCCCATAAACAAAAACCAAATAATACAATTTCATCTCAACGTTCTCATAAATCAAATTCAAAAAAATGGAATGAATCACAAACTAATGAACAACAACTTGACATAATGAAGGTAAAAATTAATTTAATTCTATTATTATTTTATGTTAATACAATATATATTAACAAAATATTTTTTCTCTGTTAGTATTGGTTAAATAAATATTTTAAAAGTAACAGATTTGATCCAACAATAACTGATTTATTAAATGGAAAACCTTGGAATGAAATTGAAGGAAAATTATTTTCTCAATTTATGCCGGTATTTAAAAAATTTTTATTGGATAATTATATAAATACTCGGTCAATTGAATTTTATTTTTTATTTTTTAATGCTTTACAAGCTAAACATCAAAATATTATTAATTCTATTGATAATATATAAATTTAAAAAAATAAAATTATAAATTTTTGATGTATTTTAAAAAATTTTTAAATAAATAAAAAAAAAAATAGAAAATTATAATTTATCGCTAGTGCGATATATCGCCAGCCTTTCAGATGGTTAGGAATATTTGTCACGTAGTGTCACACCCATCGGTTCTTCATTTTACTAAGTATTCCAGTTTTTTGATGGAACAAAATCCTATTTGTCACATTTATATATCACACTGGCGATAAAATTATTATAAATCGCACTGGCGAAACCAAAAAAAAATATATAAAAATATAATTTTCAATTTTTGGTTTTAAATTATATTTTTATATTAATTTTTTATATAATATTTTTAATTAAATTAATTAAATTTGATATTAAAAAAAAAAAATTCTTACCTACTAATTACAAAATTCATGAAAAAGATTGACAAAAATAAAATATGCCAGTCACTTGAGCGACTGTAGCTAAAAAACAAAACCAAAGAATATACCAAAAAAACAAATCAACCAACTTTGCCAACAATAGTAAAGCTTCTAATTCTTTTTCAAAAACCACTAATACTAACAAAAAATATTTCTTTTCCAAAAAAACATAAACTTTTCCACTTCCAAATGAACAAAAAAAGATAACAACATTGATAATATTATAGAAAATATAGTTCTAGAAACTGATCTACTTCATACTATAACACTAATACCATCAAATAATATCATTGAAATTGAAAAACCTGATGATATAAAAGTTAACCCAACTTCTGATATATTTATTCAACCAACTCCTATCACTTCAAAACAACTAACTAATGATTTCATACATGCTTACATTAATAATAACATGTTTAAAAATATTGGATTTGACTATATTCTTTCATCAACTGACAAAGGAAAAAAAGAAACAACAAAATGAAGAATCAAATAATTAAGGAAAAATAAGAGGTTACTTTTAACATTATCACTACTCTTATAATATTTTTACGTAACAGATAACACATCTAATATAAAAGAAAAAACTATAGCAGAAAACACACATTTATCAATTCCTTTTTTGTATATTATAATAGATATTAAGGTTCCACCTATATATTTATAATGAAAAAATTCTTTATCTATTTTCATATTATGGATAATCTCACAAATGCTATAACTAAAGTATAAAGTCACATCACAATCCAATTTTTACAATTGTAAACTCTGCAGAAATAAATAGGCAGAATACCAAAAATGAAAGAATTATAAAAATATCTAATATTTTCTTGTTCATTAAATCAGATATTATACATAATTATTTTACCCTATATGAAAAAATCACTAGATTCTTAATGATTGTTCTTGAATCTTTCATTGTTTATGATAATTTTAATATAATCAAACCTTTCTATGATAAAATCTGATCTGTTTAATTTTTAAAATTCATTTTACCCAACTGATCTAATTAATATTAATGTAAAAATATGCTTTATACTACATGATCTGCAATATTATTTAAAACCTTATACTTTTATCAATTTTAAAAATCTCAAATATTTAGATATTGCAGTAACACAATTACAAGAAATTTAAAGAAAAATTTTATATTAGATGGAATTCTGTGATAAATTGAGTCACAAATTTAAAGAGTACAGTAATCGTAAACTTTCAAATCCTTACAGATCTTATATAACTGATTTAAATCAGAATTATACTATTTATCATACAATATAACATTTAACAAATTTAAAGAAGAAGCACTATATAAAAATGTTATCAATAATACTTCTAAATCTATTAATAAATAAGCTACATCTAAGGTTGCTAGACGAAATCAAGAGTTTAGACAGACGTCTAAATGGTAAAAGTAAAACTTGGTTAAATTATATTAAAACCTTATTAAAAAATCTGCGAAATTTGAAAAAAGGTAAAACTATATCAAAGCTTATAAAATAGTGAAACTATATCAAACACTTAATAAAAATTTAGCGAAACTAAAGGTTTTACCATTTTGCCAAATCCAAAATGAGTTTAGACAAGCAACCTTAGCTACATCTATGATCCCAAATGTTGATGTTTTTAAAGTTTTCAAGAAAGATTGGATACAATTGAAAACTATCTTATCATCATTTGTGATAAAATTACATCTATCAAAAACATTATCATCCAATCGTAAATTGAAGAAGATATTAGATTTTGTATTAATTGTCTAGAATTTATGCATAATATTGAGTATGATTTACTTCATACTACTAACCCTAATTATGAATTCACATTACATAATGATTTTATAATAGTAGAAAATAAATTTCTATATTTACAAACCATTTTTTAACTGACTCAACCGCAAATGATAAGACTACTTCTTTAAACTTCACTAAAAATAATCTCCAATACATCAATTTAATATAATCATCTGTTGATAATATTAAAACGAGATAAAAAACTTAATCAATACTATTAGCCAATCATCCAACAACTCTTAATCCTAATCAATAAATGTTTTTCCTATTAACACAAATGATGATGTTCAAAAGCATCATTCTAATAAGTTAATTTCTACAAATAACAATTTTTAAATGCATATTAATAATCCAAATTTTTTCATTTACAATGCATAATATTTGAGATTACACATCTTTAGTTAAAATAAACCATATTCTTTTCTTTAACAGATAAAATTATTTTATAAGTCATTTTATAAAATCATGAATTTCAATGAAAAATATGAGGACACATTTATTATTTATGACCCTTTCATTATTGACTCTTCAATTCATAATAAAATCCTTAAAGTTATATAAAGCAAGAATAAGTTATTAATTTTGATTATTAAACTATTTGATAGTAAGCTTAAAATTTTTCAAAAATGAAAGAATAAACAAATCAAAGCATTTATTAAACAAAGAATTCAGAATTTTAAGAATGTTTTCTTAAAATGATTAATTTGTGTTTCAAAAGAATTTGTTAAATAATAGTACCAAATCAAGTACTAGTTCAAAATTTTAACAATAAATCCTACTTTGAGTTAAATTCAGACAAAATTAAAACTATAATAGCTTAACATTTCAAAAATATTGCAATTTCCCAAAATCATGAGATCACTAATCCTTTTTATTTATACTTTTTATAATATTGGAAGGATTATTATCAGCTCTTATCATATATCAATGATATTGTATTTAATAACCTTTTAATACTACTAACATATAAGGTTGGTAAAAATCCTAATTGGTCTTAATTGATTCTGATTAATTTTAAAAAAATTATTAATTTTAAAAAGTAAAATTTTTTAAATATTATCATTATATTTAATTTTTTAATTAAAGTTACTTAATTAAATAAGTTTAAATTTCTTTTTAAAATTTAAAATATCTTTAAAATTTTAGACTTAGAAACAGATTCTAAATTAAATATATTTATTATTTTTAAAAATTTTTTATTTTAGATTAATAAAATAATTGATATATAATAATTATTAAAAAAATTAATTAATAATATATAAATTAAAATTATCTTTAAATTCTTTAAGACCAATTAGAACTTATTAGGACTTTACTAATCTTACTAACATATGATACTTAGTTGCTCATCATCAAATACTGAAAACGTAACTCATGCTACGCTGATCAAATATAGCCAATCATATGATTTGAATTAGTTGGCTGATCTGACTAATATGACGAATTAGACAAATCTGACAAATATGACAAATTGGTTATATTTGATTGATCTACCAGATTTATTATATTCGTTATATATATTATATTTATTAGTTTAGATAGATTAGTTATATTTATTATATTTATTATATTTTATTTACTATTATTTTATTTTGTATAAATACTCTGTATCTTTGATCTGCTAAATGGCAGAATCGCTATAATTTTTTAATAAAGCAATAACATTTATCTTTAAAACTTATCTTTGCTCATTAAACAATTTATTCTTCTTTAAATCTATATCAATAAAGATGACTTTGATCCTTCAATATAATAATTAATTCTTGTTTATTTCTTCTATAGTTTAGATGCACTTAAACTCTTTACTAGCAAATAATCTTTATTAGCTTAACAAGTGATGATTCCTAATATCATTGATTTTTCTTAATTTCATTGATAAAACGTGCTTCAAAAAGTCTACAAAATTATTTTGGTATTAGTTCCTGTAGCCCAATTATCTCTAATAGTTGCTAAATATTTTCAAACCAGTCTGTAGCTGCTCCTTTCATATATTCTCCAGCAATAGCCTTTTTTCTAGCTTTGTAGTCTATCGGTTGGTAGTTAATACTTGTTCAAAAGAAGTGAGCTATTTACTAAGGTTTTTATTCTCAATTCTATAGAAGTAATCAACTTAATTGTGTGTTCTTCTTCACGTAAATTAGCTTCTCTTACACCAAAGATACTTTCTAATACTTATCTTATTTGGTCTTCTATTGTGATTCAAGTGATGGGTTTTAGCGGTTAAGTTAAATAAACTATTAGCAAAAAGAATTAGTGAAGCAAGTATTTGATGTAATAACTGTCTGTCTTTTTATATTTATAGTAAATCTTGGTCTAATATTTCAATATAAACACTTCTTGAGATAGATAATATAACTTATCACTCAAAACCATTAGTATTAAATACTACGCCTTAAATATATAAATATAAAATGTCAAACGATATAGGTGTAATCTGATAGCAAATACTAAAAAGTATTGATATTATAATACTTTTTAATCGTTCATCATGATATTCTGATTCAATAATATGGTATAGACTTTTAAATAAATTAAATAAAACAGTAGTTCTTGTAAAATAAGTATCAGTTTGATATTAAAAGTTAAACTAAACCCAAAAGTATATAAAACTATCTGTGAGGTTATATTTGAAGGTGAAGGATAACACCAAAAATAAGTATAATCTATGTTTAAACTAGTATTAAAATAGTGCCTAATAATATGCTCAGTTGTATTATATTTAACTTTTTCAAAATTCATACATCTCGCTAATTTGTCAGTATTTCATTGTGTATATTATCAACAAAGAATAGCCTGATAGAAATCACTACTTGTTAAGCTTAAACTATTCATTATTAAGTTTACAAAGATTATTTGTTAGCAGTGAGTTTAAGTGCGTCTAAACTATGGAAGAAATAAACAAGAATTAATTATATTGAAGGGTCAAGGTCATCTTTATTGATATAGATTTAAAGAAGAATAAATTGTTT